GTAAGTAAGTAAGTAAGTAAGTAAGTAAGTAAGTAAGTAAGTAGATGAATAAGACTGTCTTGCCAGTCACATCCCAAGCATGATTTAAGAGAGAGGAGGGGCTGCTCACCAATAGTTATGTGTTGCATTCAAGGATTGAGTTCATGTGAACATATCACCAGAAGACAGCTACATAAAATAGCTGAACAGAAAAACAGGGAAATCACTGGACCCACCAATCAGCCCTATGGTAACTAAAACCACCATCCCAGAGGCCTCTCACAGGTCTCTCATGCTGCTTCTTCAGAAAAATGGGCATTGAGGGCCCCCCAAATACCAAACTTTTTCAGAGTCCCTACCATTCTAGGCCACCTTCACTTAACCTGTCACATTACTTGGTTTTTTAAAATGGAAAGTTATACAGCATAGTGGCTGACCTTTTGTCATCCTAGATTTACTATGGCTACAAAAGTGATTTTTTTTCATTTTTCCTTTCATATTGCATTCATCTTCATGATTATGCTTTCTATTCATCAACAGTACCTTCTATCTTTCAGCCATGAAGCCTTGGCTTCATCTTTGACTCCCTGGTATTGACAGCCACATTCAACCATGTCACTTTTAATAATGAAGTGTTATAAAAGCATGTATCTTCTGCTTCACTTCCTTAGCTAAATCACTAGTTAATAACACAATGTTCACCCTTCCCCTGGGTGGCAGCAACCTTTTATCTAGTTTTGGAATTGTTTCACTTTGGTCTGCTTCTTTATCCAGAACTTCGGAACAAAAATCATTTCATTCTTTTTTATTTATAACATATGCCATAACCCTTAAAATCTTATTTCCATGCTGTGTGATATTTTGAACAAATTCTTTGTTCTCAACTCTGAAACTCTATTTTGTCTTACTGCCTTTCTGACAATTCTACCAGAACCCACTGTATTTAGAATTCGTACTCTTTTAAAGTGCTAACCCTTTGGCTTTGTTGCTTCTTGCAAAATCCTGAGTTCATAAAGCATGAATGAATGAATGAATGAATGAATGAATGAATGAATGAACGAACGAATGAATGATACACTTGTAAATGGGAGAGGTATGTTGAGATGAGGGGAATCCTCCAGTTTTATCTTTGTACCCTCAGCTATTCATTTAGTAATTTGCCTGAAAAGATGCACTCAAAGTGATATAGGAATGGTTAAATTTAAAAAATATAAAATAAAAGTAGTCCTTATATCTTCCGATGTCAAGAAATGAAACATTATCAAGGTATAATTTTGCCATCACATGCCAAAGGGATTGCAATGTAAATCACAAAGCCCTGTTTACTGGTTATTATTTTAATAGGGCATCATAAACTTATTTCATTCTATTTTGGAGTGGGTTTTAAAAGGAGAGTAGATGTAGCTTGCCAACCCTAAACTGAGAGGAAGAAGCAAGGAGGGAAGTATGATATAAAATGAAAAGTCTCTATTAATATATTCATGTGTGCCCTAGGAAAAAACACAGCAGTGCTATTGGGACTTGTACAAACAGAGCACCTAACTGAAATAATTAATTCCCCTGAAACAAGGCAGCAGGGCTTACAATTTTTTTAATGCAAAGGAAGTGATGTATTTCATCCAATCTGTTCTCCTTATAATGGGAGCCATTATATGGCTCCACACCTTTCTATCCATATCTTACACTTTCTTTGAGCTTCTGGCACAATGCAAGGTATGGATATTACCTATGAAGCCCTATATGGCACAGGGACAGGATACTTGCTGGACCACCTGTCTCCAATTGTTTCTGTTCACCCTACCAGAACAGGCAGGGTGGGCATGCTCCCAGTCCCCTTTATTAAAGACTGCCATCCTGTGGGACATAGGAGTCATGCTTTACCTCCCAGTTGACAGCCTTCTTCCAAAATGTCCTTTAGCTTCCAGTATCTTCTAATCAACATTCAACTTGGTGGGTGGGGACCTGGCTAACCCCAAGCAATTATTTATTTATTTATTGTTTGTTTATTAAATTTATATGCCACCCATCTCCCCCAGAGGGTGGGCAG